GGTTAAGGTGGGGCAGGAGCCTGAGAGGAACATGGACAGAAGGCAGATGGCACAGATGTGGGGAGAATAAACCCAGAGTCCTTCACAGTGGTATTAGAGACAAAAAGAAGTGAAGAAACAGTTGTTTGAGTTCCTTTTGGACAACTTGGACCCATGTGTTCCTTGGTGGCTTAGCTCTTGGGCTCCCAGGGGACTTCCTGTCCCCACTCCTATAGCTGCAAGTAGCTCCAAGGTCGCAGCTGGGTGCTCTCTGTCCCCAAGGTGCCTCATTGGCTTTTCTAGGAATTTGCACTCCTGTGTAAAGTAGGAACTCTCCAAAGTGTGCTGGAAAATAGGAAAGAGCACTGATTTACAATTGCACTTGCCTGGAATGACCTAGCTTTCGCTGTTAAATTGAGTTAGTACTGTAAGACCTCGTTCACCCAGTATTGGGAAATGTTACATGCCTACTATGTAAAAGAAGCTCTCCCACCCACCTCTGCTTTATTTTTTTTATTATGTTTGAGATACATAGTAATGGCATTCTTCTTGGAAGATTGGTCTGTTTTATTTTTCAGCATATATCTTTTTTACTAATTCCTTGTTAATTAGGCCATTGTGGTTGCACAGTCTTCATTTTTGCCATCTTCACCATTAAAGGTTTCATTCCTTTTTGAGGGATAGAGAGGACATCTGGTTCAGAGTAATTGCTGCCATTGAATAGGAACTGTATGATGCATTCTGTAACATTCTCTCATGTACTTTCAAAAACCCATAAGATTGAAATGATTATTTTCACAGGGAGAAAAGGAGGCTTCAGGAGCAGGAAGTAGCCAGGGTCACAGAGTAGTTAATAAAACTGGAACTGGAACCCAAAATTCTGACTTAAAGTCACTTGCTCTTAACCCACAGGATGTTTGTCTGCTGAAATGAATGAATAGTGAAAAGCAAATTACTCTTCCTTAAAACTCCCTTCATGCCATAGGCTCAGGACTAATGCAACTTTCTTCTTGACGTCTGCCTTTCTTTCCTCTAGGTGAAAAAAACTGCATTTATACATCCTCACGTCTTTCTGAGTTGTGTAGCAGTTTGTAGCCCAGTGCTTCTCTCCCGGTAGCTCTTGGAAGCACCAGGACAAGGTCTTCCACATAGAGTTGGTATTAGATGCCTGTTTGTAGATGTAAAGAATCAGTGATTGCCTTGCCCTTACCTATCTAGGACACTTTGTTTTGAGCTGGTTCTGCTTTGGTTCACTTCCCTCTACTCCCTTCCCTGACTGGATTTTGCTATGTAGTTCAGGCTGGCCTTGAACTTGCTGTGATTCTCCTGCTTCAGTCTCCTGAGTGCTGGGATTACAGGCGTGTGCCGCCATCACATCTAGCTAAATTTGGTGCTTTTAGTTTTTGTTTTGTTTTGTACCAGGAATTGAATTTGGGACCTTGTGTTTGCAAAGCAGGCAGCAGAACCACTGAGTTAAATCCCTGGCCTTACTTTGGTGCTTTTAAATAAGGGAAATAAAATAATTATGAGCAAATACTCTTGTATCTCTATTTAAAGCTAATTTCCTATTGATTGCATATAGTTGAATCTTAGCTGGTAGTCTCTGCCTTTTAATTGGCAAGATAATCCATTTACATGTCATATCATTATTGGTATGGCTGGATGTGGTTCTATCATCTTGTCATATTCTTTTTGCCTCATGTTTCTCTTCTTTTGTCCTCATATATTGTAAATTTCATGTTTGTTTTAGATAGCCTTAAATTTAAAAAATAAGTAACTTTTTATATTTATCCACCTGTTCAACATTTCCAGTGATCTTATTTTTCTTGCGTATTCTACTGAGAAACACAAGGGTGCCCTACTACTGAGCTACACCCCCAGCCTTTTTTTATTTTTTATTTTTAGACAGACTCTTGCTGAGTTGCCCAGGCTGGGCTTGCATTTGTGATCTTCCCCTCTGAGCTTCTCTAATAGCTGGGATTACAGGTGTGTACCACATACTGAGCTGATCTTTATATGTTATATATCACAGCATTACCATAGAATCTTTCCTGTAGCTTTCAGAATTGCCATTGGCATGCATTTTAGTACAAGTTTGCAGATGGTGAATTTTCTCATCATTTTTGTTTGAAAATATCTTTGTCTTCTTCAGTTTTGAAGTTTTTCTGTATATAGAAAATTTTTAGCAAAACTTAAAATTTTTTTAACAAACATTTTTTCTTGCAGCAGTCTAGAGATGGTCCATTGCCTTTTCATTGCCATTGTTTCTGGTCAGAATTTAATTGTCATTTGTACTTGTCGCTGTGTATGTACTGTAATGTGTCCTGTTCTGTTTTTTTCTGTGCTTTCAACATTTTCCTCATCTTTGCATTAGCAGTTTGAGTATAATTTGCCTAAAGGTAGTTTACTTAATTCCTTTGATTGGCAGGAGTTGAGTTTCTTAGATCTGTAGGTTGATGTTTTTCTTCAGTTTGGGGATTTTTGTATGTTTGTTTGGAACTTGGTACATACCCCAGTCTGGCCTTGAACTCCCAGCGACTCTCCTGCCTCAGTCTGCCAGTGCTGGGATTACAGGCATGTGCCACCATGCCCAGCTATTTGAGAATGTTTTGAGACATTAGTTTTTCAAGTATTTTTTGTGGCCCATTTTTGTCTGTCACATTATATATCATTAAACTGGGAGATATTGTCACACAGTTATTGAGATTCCATTTATTTTTTCCTTTAGTATTTATTTCAGATTGGATAATTTCTGTTCATTTTACTTCTGTGCGATCTTCTGCTATTACGCCTATATGTAAATTTAGGTCGTCCCCTCCCCCCCAGCTTTAGTTTTTCCCTTTTTTAACAGAATCTTGCTATGTAGCCCAGTCAGGCTGCCCCTGAACTCACTGTGTCGCCTAGGCTGGCCTTGAACTCATGATGATCCTTCTACCTCAGCCTCCCAAGAAGAGAGGCTTGCACCACTAGGCCTGGCTCCAGTTTTAGAATTTTCATTGGCCCTTTTTTTTAATTTAATAAAATATGTTGTGGTGAGGTACACAAAACAAGTCACCACCTGAACCATTCTTAGGGGTGCAGTCACACTCCTGGGCAGCCCGTCACCACCATCTCTCTCTGGAACTCTTCGTCTTGCCAACTGAAACTATGTGTGGTTCTTTTCATAGCATCTGGTTTTGTACTCACCGTCTGTTTATTTCATAGATCCATATAATTTCCTTCAAGTATGAAGTTCCTGTCTGCTAATTGCTGCCTCTGGTTATCTTGGTATTGGTTGTTTTTTCCTTGACTGTGGGTCACATTTTCTCATTTTTATGTATGTCTAGTAATTTTTTAAAAAAGTACTTTATTGCTCTTACCTTACACATACGGATAACAATTTATGGCTATCATTTGCTACGCTCTAGTTCAGTCCATTCCTTTTTTTTTTGTACCAGAAATTGAACTCAGGATCTTGTGCTTGCCAGGCTGGCGCAGGTGCCACTGAGCTACATCCCCAGCTTTATCTTGTATTTTTTATTGAACACTGGACATTGTGAAGCGTCTGCTATAGCCATTCTGGATTCTTTTATTGTGAAGAATTCTCATCCTCGTGGGTAGTTAGTACGGCGAGACTCGAGCTCTTAACGCCCATCTCCCTGTGTTAGCAGCAGCTGAAATCACTCATGTCTTTCAGTTTTCAGCTGCTGCTCTTTTTCCTTTGACGCCCCCATAACTGGCTTGAGCATGTTAATTATTTGCAGATTTGGGAATTCACCCCTTCTCTCGCTCCCTCCCTTTCAGGATTTTTCTTCAACCTCGTGACTGCTCTTCCAGCCTGGACTCTGCCATCCTGAACCCTGTCTTTGGGGGTTGGCGCTTACCCTGAGGCACAAGGGTGCAGATGTACTACTCTCACCCTGCCCTGCACTTCTCTTCCAAAGATGGGCAGTCCTCCCATTTTACCCTGCCTTTGGTTGTTCTTTAATTCTTTCAGATAATCTCACATACGTTGTTCAGATTTTGTCACTGTTGTCTGTGGCGAGGGGCTACAGCTGTCACTGTTGGCAGATGGAGGCCACACGGAGGCCTTTTGGGCTTATGATCACACTCCTCTCCTGCCCCAGTTTTGTGACAGCTGTGCTGCGAGGAAAGGGCTTTCCCTCTTGGATCCCTGGGACCCGTGCCTCGGGCTGTCGCTACCCCTGGAGGCTCATGTTCAGGCTCGAGGTGCCAGCAGCCCTGACTTCTGGTGAGGGCTCCCTGGGCTTGCAGGTGCGGGCTTCTTGCTGTGTCCTCACGTGGCCTTTCCTGTGTGCACACGTTCCTCTTGTAGGGATCGGGGCCCCACCCTTGTGGCCTCTTTTAACTTTAGCTCCTTAAAGGCCTGTCACCCTGGGGCTTCGCTGTAGGGGTTGGGGTGGGGGCACAGTTCAGTCCGCAGCAGAGCAGTCGTGGCTCAGGATGGTGCGGGGGTGGGCAGGGAGGTAGAGCTGTGTTTCACGGATGACACGGGACATGTTTAATCAGTCACCACGTGGGGCAGAGTGCCCAGTGAGTCTGGGGACAGTGGAAGCCCTGGGGGTTCAGTTATGGACAAGACTGGCTTTGTGCCTGCCCTCGTGGAGGTGGTAGCCTGGGGAATAAAAAGTTAAGAGACATTGCTGTGAGAGGAAGTAGGGGACTTACAGGTGCCTGAGGGCTTTGAGGAAGGGGTGCTCCCAACATGAGCAGGTCACGGAGGGCTCCTGGAAAATACCTTTCCGAACAAAAATGTGAAGGAAGAGAATGCTGCGGACCTGGGCATGGCAGGCAGGGGAGGCTGCAGGGCTGAGCTGGGTGCACTGCGGGGACAGGGACTTGTGGAGCCCGGGGCCTGTGGGACCTCACGGCCTGTCCCTCAAGCGGACTTGAGGTGGGGGCCTGTGCTGCGCTGTGCTGCCAGGTGGGGAGCCGTCAGCGTGGTCTCCGTGGACCCTGCCTCCCCTCGGCCCGACCCCCTTCCTGAGCCTCTGGGTCCCACGAGTGTTCTGTTGTTTCAGGCCTGGACAGCGAGTCGGCCTCCAACAGCCTGCACTTCAGCAAGGCCTGCCTGAAGAACGTCTTCTCCGTCCTGCTCATCTTCATCTACCTGCTGCTCATGGCCGTGGCCGTCTTCCTGGTCTACCAGACCATCACGGACTTCCGCGAGAAGCTCAAGCACCCCGTCATGTCCGTGTCCTACAAGGAGGTGGATCGCTACGACGCGCCAGGTAGCGCTGCCGGGCGGGCCATTCCCGAGCTGCCACTCGCCTGAGGGCCGCGTCAGGCCCGCAAGCGTGGCGCCGAGGACAGGGCAGTGCGGGGTGGCCGGGGTGCTTCACGGAGAAGTCAGATTGGGGCTGAAGAGCGTGTGGGGCGCGGGCGCTGGTGGGAGGAGGTGCCGGGTTGTGACGTGGTGGCAGGGTGAGGCAGGTGGGGGTGAGGCCAGGCCTGGGAGGTGGTGGGGAGCAGGGCCCTGCTGGAGAGGGGCTGCAGGTCAGTGTGTGTTTCCTGCCCTGTGGGGTGTCTGGTCCCTAAGGGGCACCATCCTGCCCAGGAGTGGACCACGCTCCAGACCTGTGGGGCTGGCACTGTGCTCTGGAGTCACGGGGGGCATGGAGCTGCCTGTGCTCTGTGGCTTGGGTGTGCCGCCTGCCCTGCCCATGGGTACCCTGCGTGGACCACGCTCAGGGCAGAGCCAGAGCTCGGGACCCCACCTTCCTGCCCTGGGTCTGAGCCTCCTCTGCGCGTGTCTGCTTTGGTTGCTCAGGGTGTTCTTGCCTGTCGGCCTCTTGACCCTGTGAACACTGCCTTCCTGTGCTGCGGGTGCTGCTCTCTGCATTTCTTCCCTTGAGTCCAGACCGGCTGTGGTCAGGGAGAGGGGTGGGTGCATGGCTGGGGTGGAGCTGCTACCCACGCAGTGAGAGAGACAGACAGCTCCGGGGGATCCTGCAGGCCAGAGGTGTCCGGGCCACCTGCAGGAAGTGAGGGCGAGGGGCAGGCAAGCTGGGCTCCTGTGGGCAGCAGGAGGCTGGGTCACAGCTGGTGAGGGTGCTGAGGAGGCCTGTGCCTCCTCCGGAGTCAGAGGGCGTGGTTGACTCTTCCCTTGGAGCCCTTCTTTTCCTGCTTCTCGACCGTCACCCGAGCGCCTGGCGCCGTCACTGTGGGTGTGAGGTGCCTCATGAGTGGTCAGACACCATGGCCTCAGATGTTCCCCTTTCCCTGCATGTGCCCAGGTATCGCCCTTTACCCTGGGCAGGCCCAGCTGCTCAGCTGCAAGCACCACTACGAGGTTATCCCACCTCTGATGAGGCCTGGCCAGCCTGGCGACATGGACTGCACCACCCAGAGGATCAACTACACGCACTCCTTCTCCAACCAGACTGTGGTAACTTCTGCCCCTGCCCATACCCCGAGCGCCCGAGTTCTCTTCCCGGGGCCCCGGGCGCTGGGTGCACATGAGACAGGGCCTGGCTCACCACATTCCAGGGGACCACGAGGCCCACTTCCTGTGTGCATGAGCTGGAGCCCCTGACCTGGGCTGAAGGAGGGCTGGGGTGGCGTGGTGAGCTGCACCCTCTACCTGGCCACTTGGCAGAGTCCCAGCTCTCCAGGCGAGAGTATGGCTGAACCATCCCTGAAGGCCCGGACTCGCGATGGAGCCACGTGCCAGTGCAAAGGTGGCCTATTGTTCAGGCTGGGGGTGGGGACTCCTGGCCTGGGTGCCACTCACAGGGCGGCTTGGCGGGCGGTGACTGGAGGAGGCTCCAGGTGCACCTGGGCGCAGCGGCACTGCACAGGGTCCAAGCAGGCAGAGGGCTTCTTTCTACTTACTTACATCTTGGCTGTGTCTGGCTGTCAGGGATCAAGGGTTTTCCAGAGGCAGTGGAAGGAAAGGTTTTCCTCTGCGGCAGCAGTGCGAGTGTCATGCTCCACAGCCTGTGCTCCCCTGGTGACAAGATGAAGGCATCACAGAGACTTCATCACACAGTTGTTCCCACTAGGCATCCTTCTCAAATCCTACCCCAGTGATTCCTACCCCTACAAAAAAATAGGAGTAGAATAGGATCATGTGTCAGAAATAACCTGCAAACGAAGAAGGGACCACAGGCAGACCAAGAATTTTGAGGATCTGGTATAAAATACAAGTAGCAAAGCCAGGTGAGGTGGTGCACACCTGTTATCCCAGCACTCAGGAGGCTGAGGCAGGAGGATTACTTCAAGTTCAAGGCCACCTTGGGCTACGCAGTGAGTTCAAGGCCAGCCTGAACTATTCTCTTGAGACCCTGTTTGAAAAACAAACAAGGGCTGAGGATGTAGCTCAGTGGTGCCCCTGCCTGCTTCACAGGTGCAAGGTCCTGAGTTCAATCCCTAGCACCAAAGAACAAAAGCCAAAAACAAAACAGGTTAGGACTAAGTCTGGAGGTGACTACTTGGAACCATCCGTTGGAGAGCAGGGCTGTGAGGATGGCATGGGTCCTCAGCATGGCCCACAGCGGGGCAGCCTCAGCCTTCGCCCTCCCGGCGGAGCTGTGGGGGTGTTGGTTCTGGTCACAGCCCTGGCGCTTTCTCCACACAAGCAAAGCCCTGCTGCACCAGGGTGGCTCCTGGCAGCCCCTCTGTGCAGCGGGGAAGCCTAGAGAAATAGGCCTCGGCAGGGAGACAGCACCCTTCCTTCATGGGAGTGGAGAAGGGGTCACCGAAGGAAAGGACCAGGAATGGGGAGAGGAACGAATCAACACAGCGAGGAAGCAGCGTCTGAAAGCCGGAGAGAGAGTAGTATCTTGGTAGACGTGGTCTGGACTCCAGCCTCCTCAGTGCAGCAGCCGACGGGGACACCTCTCTGCCCTCCCATGAAGACGCTTGTGAGGCGAGCGCTTTGCCGACTTCTGTATCCCATCGTGCCTGTTCTGGGCGTGCATGACATAACTGCACGGTCACATGCCCTTGAGATTAGGGTACAAAGCGCCGTTTCCACGAAGAGGGACTGAAGTGCAGCTACTGGCTACACTGAGTGGTGGTTGGTTTTCTTCTCCAGTTCCTTGCAGCCCCGACTGTGCACTAACAGGGAACTCATCTCCTCCGTCTGTCACGCCTGCTACTCAGCAGGCTGAGGTGGAAGGATGGTTCAAGCCAGGGATTTGAGGCCAGCCTGGGCCACACGGCGAGACCCTATCTCAGAAGAAAATAAAAAGGAAGAGGACTAAGATCTGAGCAGTCAAGCTCCGGGGGCAGTGGAGGAGGGGTGGGGGGCCATGTCCCCGCCTGGTGAGGACGCCTCATTAAACCCCACTGCTGCCCCCAGAGACTCGTGTGCTCTGCCTTGTCCTTACCACGGGTGGCCCTTTCTGCGGTGACAGGAGGAAGACCCGTCGACTCCTGCTTGTGGCATTTGGAGAATGGCTTTGTGGCTGACGTCCCGGTGGGGAGGTGGCTCTGCCCTCTGCTGTCCACAGGGAGCTTTTTTGGAAGCGTGCAGACCAAGTCCAGGCAGAAGTGGCCCCGTCCAGGCCTTGCCTGGCCAGAGTCCCTGATCGTCAGACTCTCGGCTCTCTGGTCTCTCTCGTGCTCCCAGTTTAATGGTATTCACTGACTCAGGGATTCCCTGCCTTTCCAGCCTACAGGATCTGTCTCTGTCTCCTCACCAGAAGAACTGTTTCCCTGCCACCCAGTGGGAGGCCCATGCCTCATTTCTAGGTGTTTTGCTACCTTAACACCCGTTCCAGCTAACGGGTTACGTCAGTTGGAGTCTGAGGCAGACGGAGTTCTGTGCAGACCATGCCCTGTCACTGGCTGACGGGAGAGGCTCTCGTGTCTCCGGACCAGCCTGGGCACATGGGCAGGGTGGTGCTGCTGCCCAGGAGTGTCCTGCAGTGGCTTCTGCTATGTCCCTGCTGGCCCTTGGTGTCCTGCTCCAAAGTGTCAGAGCACACATGGCTCCTGGGAGGTGAGAAGTGCCGGGCAAATGGCACCTGCGGAGGACGTGGCCTGGCGCATGACTCACTTTCCCGCACCTTCTGGGGATGGGACCAGGAAAGCCAGTCTCAGGCTAATGGAAGGTGAGGATGACGGAAACTGGGCTTTTAGCCTTCTCTGTCGCAGCCAAAGCAAAGTACACGGGAAGGTCGGAAGTGCACAGATGCAAGAAAAGCTTGAAGGGTGGGGTGGCGACAGTGTCAGGTGCAGAGGGCTCTGTGTGGGCTGGTTGATGCCGAGGGGCCCAAGTCCTGTCTGCTGATGTTTAAGTCACAAGTGGTTGTGTACAGCCCAGAGGGCGTTTGTGGATTTTGGCAAAACCTGGTGGAAATAAACGATACTGTCATCTTCGCTTTAGTGCCCTGCACATTCTCAGGTCTTCAGTAGCGCGAGGACTGAAGAGCACATTTAATGAACTCAGTGTGCGTGTGTATTTGTGTGTGTATACACGTGTGTACACTTTTTCCAGTGATCCGTAGAGTAGAACAGTTGATGTAAAGAATGTTTTTCTCACATGAATCCCTCAATCCAGTTTCGTCACAGTTAAAAGTCCTCATAGATCTTTTTGCAGAGGTGAACAAGCTGAAGTCTGGGTACAAAAGCTCATGTACAGAATGACCCGGACACGTGTAGGGGTGGCAGGAGCCATGGGGAGGAGACCTGCCTGGCAGCGTCACCTCACAGAACAGCGCGCACGGGTGTCACAGTGATGTGTGGGAAGGCACACGTGGCGGGCCGTGCAAGGGCCAGGCAGGCAGAGTAGCACGTCTGGACTTCAGTGTCCCCTAGGAGGAGGGAGTGAGGCGTGGCGGCTGTGTCGTGTTTGTCCTGCAGTCGAGTCCGATGCTACCTCACACCATGTACAAAACCGGGTCATGCATATAAAGTATCTGAATGTAACAGTGGTTTTTAAAAGTACTATAAAGAAATAGAACGTTGATATAATTCTGGCTTAATTTGGCAAGCAAAGCCCAGAAGCCGTAAGGAAAAAAGACTTACAGATTTCATTCTATTACATTTAAAGTTTCCGCATAACAAGTGAGATCAGAAACAAAGTTAAGGGCTGAGCATTTAGCTCAGTGGTTCCGCTGCCTGCCTTGCAAGCACAAGGGCCCAAGTTTGATCCCTGGTACCAAAAAAAAAAAAAGAAAAAAGAGAAATGTGGCAAACTGGAAGAAAACACCTGGCATACAAAAGAGAAGTGAATGTCCTTACTAAATAAAGCCGTGTCCCTGGCGCAGCCAGCAAGAGAGCGGGCAGAGGTTGTGGTGTGTGGACCCCGGGTGCTGTGCCCAGGACTCCCGGCAGCGGGAGGGTCTGGCCGCCATGTGTAAGGCTTCCAGGCCAGCAGCCCTGGGCTCGCTGCCTGCTTCTGCCTAGGCCCAGAAGCCTCTGTGTACCCCGGGTGAGGGGCTGCACCGTGTTCCCCAGGACAAACTCTGGCCTTTGTGTTCCTGCAGAAATCCGCCCTGGTGGTTCAGGGGCCCCAGGAAGTGAAGAAGCGGGAGCTGGTCTTCCTTCAGTTCCGGCTGAACGGGAGCAGCGAGGACTTCAGCGCCATCGACTACCTCCTCTTCTCTTCCTTCCAGGAGTTCCTGCAAAGGTGGCTGCCTCGTGTCTGCTTTTGTAGGCAGCCTTGCACAGTTGCATGCTGGGAGTGGAGAGGGTGCCAGGGGACCTGTCCTGCGGATGTCCCCCTGGCCCAGTAACAGACCAGCTAAGTTCGGCCACTCTGGTAAACTCAGATGGCAGTCAGGCCCTCAGGTGGAACAGTAGCTGCTCCGTGTGCACGTGGCACCCTCCTCCTCAGACCCTGCTCTGGTGGTAGTGGTGCCGTCCCCAGGGCCCAGAGTGCTCATTTGAAAGGGGGCGTTTTCTTTGTCTCCCTGCCAGGTCCCACTGAGCCCCAGGATCCCTACAGCCGCCGCCACCAGTGCTCCTTGTCCTTCTCAGCCTGGAACCAGGGCCTCTGTCCTCTTTATCCTCTGTGCCATGACAGCCCCCTCCCGCCATGCCCAAAGCTCTGTGTGCCCTGTTCCCCCCGAGAGACCCTTCCAAGGCTCCCCCAGGCCTACGTTCTCTCCTGAGGGCCACGTGGTGGGGTCCCCTTGACTGGGCTACCCGGGAACCCCTTCTCTGAGCCCAGTGAGGGCTGCCGTGGGCTCTGCCTGTGAAGCTCTTTGTGCAGGTCTTGGGGTTCCCACACACGTGCTGATGCAGCAGGGGGGTGCAGTGGACAAGTCGAGTGCTCACCCACTGGGGCTGCAGGGCCCTCACCTGCCGCGGCTCCCCAGGGAGAGCTGTTCTGTCGGGCAGTGTTCTGGAGAGGAAGCGGGGAGTGGCAGCATCTGTGAGCAGCTGCTGCCCCAGGCCTGCTCACCAGGCCCCTTCTCTCCTCCACCTTCAAGTCCGGACAAGGCGGGCTTCATGCAGGCCTGCGAGAGCGCCTACTCCAGCTGGAAGTTCTCAGGGGGCTTCCGCACCTGGGTCAAGATGTCGCTGGTGGAGACCAAGGAGGAAGACGGGCGGGAGGCAGTGGAGTTCAGACAGGAGGTAGGTGGCTCTGGGCTGCTCCGAACTGCCTGAGTCAGGTGGGGGAGCTTTGCAGGAAAGGGTCCTGGGAGCAGGGGCTAGAGGGTGGGTCGCAGGGACCCTGGGATCTGCACTTTCCCCAGTGGCTCCTCTGGGCAAGGAACAGCAGTCACCACACACTGCAGGAAGGCCGGGCAGGTCACCTGTCCCTGCGTCTGATACCCGGCTGCGTACCCGCTACCCACAGCCCGGCAAGGGAAGAGACTGTAGCAGTGGTGTCTGAGGGGAGCCCTGTGATGGCCCTTGGGATGCAGGTGGCAAACAGTGGCTTCCTTCTTGTGTTTACTGTATTCTGTGGAATGTGTTCAAGTACATCATCAGTAGGGTAGCGCATGCTGTCATGTGTGCAGTTACGAAGGCATGTGTGGATGCGTACTCGGACCTTTTCACTAACAGTAAGTCCGATCAGAAAGCTTGCAGCTTGCTGGCTTGGAGCCAGGAGTCTCCATGGGGACCCCGTGACAGCTGGGGCGGGGCGGGCGTGGTGGCAGGGAGGGAGGTGGGGGTCGTCACCTGGAGCTTTGTCCCGCGCATTGCTCTGCACACTTGCTCAAGTCCTCTTCCGGCCCCACAGAGGCTCTGGGAGGAGAGGTGTTGACTTACTCAGCCTGGAGCCAGGTGCAGTACCTGGCCTGGCTCTCCTAATGGCTCTGCCCTTGTTTGATCTGAACCAAAGGCCAAAACACCAGCGACTCCGTTCTTGATGCCCTTTATTACTGGCCGGGTTGGAAGTTGTGAGCTCTTTTGAACAAAACTCCAAAGCATTCTTATCTTCTGCTTCAGAGTTTAGAACGCTTCCACATGGGTTGTTCCCTCAGCTCTTGCAGGCCACAGCGGGGCAGATGTTGTGTCCTGTCTCAGGTGGCGGCACCGAGGCTCACATCACACAGTGGCCCCGTGCTCTGGGGTGGCCGGAGCTGTCCGTCCTGTTATGCTGCAGGGCCACTTTGGCATGAGGCCAGGGACCCCCGTGCGTCTGTGGGCGCTTGTAGGGATGTGTAGCCGTGTGGGTCAGATCAAGTATTTAAGATTCGGCATGTTCACTGCTTTTACTTGTGACTGATGTGTGCCTCAACAGCGAGAATAGGTGCTGCTAACAGACTTCAGTAACAATTCAGACACCTCCTGTACATCCCAGATCCAAGTGTTCCCAGAGAATGGTAGAAAACATGGCAGTGTTGGCTTTGGTACCAGCTCAGGGTCCTCTGATGAGGATTTCAGTGCGCACCATCCAAAGATGGTGGCAGGAGGGGCTGGAATCCTCCTGCTGACCCCTCCCCAGGGTAACTCTCTCTTCCACATCTAGACCAGCGTGGTGAACTACAACGACCAGAGGCCAGCCGCAGAGAAGAGTGCCCAGCTGTTCTTTGTGGTCTTCGAATGGAAAGATCCTTTCATCCAGAAAGTCCAAGACGTGAGTCGGTTTGTGATTACGAGGACCAGTTCCCTGTCGTGCCGCGTGCAGGCTCATTCCCACAGGCTACTTAGCTGTCCTTGTGTTTTCAAACTGTGGAACAGCTTGCAGCTTATGACTGATGCGTGTGTAATCTGTGTAATTGAGCTCGTCTGCATTGCTAGACTTGTGTCCGTGAAGGTGGGAGCCTTATTCCATTCACCATTATTTACCTGGTATCTAGCAGAGCGCTTAGCAGAGTAGCTGCTTACTAGTGACACTGACTCAAGTAGACAGCATTACCACAGATCACTATAGAAGTCATTCTTTCTCATTGGCTCTCTGTAGGTTAGGTGCTTATTTGTGCTAAGCCAGAGCAGAAGGGTACAGATAATTAAAGCATCAGTTAATGCCACGTTCTCAGGCCCACAGTCTTGGAACGGGAAAGGTAACTGGCTAGCTTTGCTGAAGGAGCATTACTGATGCAGCGCCCGCCTGGGCCGGTCCCTAATGGGCATTCGCGCTATCAGTGTCCTGACAGTCATTGCTTTGGGAAGACCGTCCAGAGCTCAGACACGGGAGCCTCAGACCCAAGGTGGGAGTCCTGCGAGATGCGTCACATCCCTACCCCTCAGTCCTGTGCAGGCAGGGCCAGCTGAGGAGCACCGGTGGAAGGGTGCTGGCCTGGAGCCTGTCCCGTGGAATGTGCGCGCTGGCACTTTTATGCAGTCCTCAGCATGAGGTGCTTGCTGTGGGTGAAGCAGTGCCCCACACAAGGCAGGGTTTCTTGAGCTGTTATCCAGACCACTCACTGCATGTCAGCACTGAGCTCCTGCCCTCTCGGGTCACGCCACCAGACTGGGCTTACAAGGGTTGCAATTTTACCGTGCTCGGGAATTCACAGATCTAACACGAGACCTTTTCCCTAGAGTTTACATCAGTGAAAGCGTGATCTTTTGCTTTATATTAGTAACATCGGACAGTAAACAATGGGAAGGAATTTGCAGGACAAAGAGCTCTGCTGCACCCAGTGAGAGCCTTGGCCTGGTGCTGGAGAAAGCACAGAGCTCGTGACTGAAACAAGAGGGGCTAACTTCCTCACGGGATGGGTATAGTTCCACGGAAATTTACTTCAGAGCAAAGTTGCTTATATTTGGGTCAGACAAAAAAGACAGCTCAATATTGAATATATTTCTGCAAAGATTTAAAAACATTTTTTTCTTTCTGAATCACTTTTTGTAGGGAGGGGTTCATATCTCTGTCCTCTGTGTAGCCATGGACATGGAAGGTATAGTCTGACTGAATATAGTTACAAGTTTTGAAGCCCTGTTTTTCTTGTGGTCCTGATGACGGAGAGAGTAGAGTGCTGTTTACAGAAACCCTAGTGTGATTTGGGATCGAAGCAAGCCAGTAGCCTTGTGTTTGTTTCTCATTCACAGATAATCACAGCCAACCCCTGGAACACAATCGCTCTTCTCTGTGGGGCCTTCCTGGCATTATTTAAAGCATCAGAGTTTGCCAAGCTGAGTGTGAAGTGGATGATCAAAATCAGGAAGCGATACCTTAAAAGAAGAGGCCAGGCGACAAACCACATAAGCTGAAGCACCCCTCACTCGCAGACCTGCCGCGTTCACGGAGTCCTCACCACTTCCACTTTGATCCACCGAGCACCCAAGGCCCATCCTGTACTCACTTGAAGGAAGGGACCTCGCAGGGAGGAGCAGATGGTCAAACTGGGATTTCCGACCTGGCCCGGAAAGGGGAGAGACCCAGCAGATAAGCCGCAAGTTATTTAAGTTTTAAATTATTAATGTTTTATAGAGTTTGCCTGCACAGGTTTGTGGAAGATGCCTTTCTTCCTGTTTGGTTCACTGTGTAATGAAGCTCCAGGATAATTAAGGCTTTATAGTTTTTCCTTTAGTTTTTCTATGGTTTTTCGAGTGGAGAAGAAAAGTGTGATTTATGTTTCTTCAAAAATCATGGCAAGATGCGTGGCCCCCCGTCTTGGAATCTTGGCACTGTACAGAAAGGCGGGCAAACCCCGTGACTGACGGTTGTCCAGGCTGCCTGCCTCTTATTTGCTAATGAGACTCTGAAGCTACTAGGACCATGGATTAAATTTCTTACGGACTAACTAGCTGCCTGCTTCTCTGGCTGGAACCTGTGTTGATGCAGGTGAGTTTAGTGACTAAGCGTCAAAAGCACTAGCAGAGGTGTGGACGGTAGGTGCCTAGCCAGTGCATTTCGATCATGTCACTAATAGATAATAAAGTTGGGTTCATATGAAAGGGACGAGTGCCAAGATGAGTTCACGGAAGTGGATTCAGCTGGATTCACACCCAGTGAGCAGGCACTGGTTGCTTTCCACTGTGAGCTCCACACAAAACAGCAGTCTGGACTCCTGCACCCACGGCCCCGCCCCCTCCAGCTGTGCCAGCCACTTCAAAAGTAGGTATTGTGTGTGTTGACTGCCTGAGTGTTATAAAAACTGCTTCAGAGTTTTCAATTACATACATCCCACTGCTTCCAAAGAGGGTGTGGCAGCACTTCCTAAATTCACTAATCTGGCCATAGCTGATCCAAAGAGGAACTCAGATGGGTAAGTAGGGCACTTTTAGCTCATGCCTAATTTAGCATCAAGAACTTTTTTGGCTGAATTATTATGAAGTTTGGGCCGGGGATTTAGCCAGCGGTTCGGTGGCCTGCCTTGCAAGCGCAAGGACCCGAGTTCAATCCCTGGTACCAAAAAAAAAAAAAGTGAACTTTGTGTAAAGAAATATTGCCTGCTGCTTCTCTCCACAGAAGCGTGAACATTCATGTTTTAGCCTGGTCTCTTTATAAAACCTGACTGCAGGGCATATAAAGCTAGATATGAAGCTGGGTGTGGCGGGCACACAGGTAACCCCAGCACACTCAGAGCTGAGGCAGGACTGAAAGCCTGGGCAACTTAGTGAGACCCTGTATGAAAATTTAAAACACTGACAAAAGCTGGGGATGTAGCTCACTAAAAGGCTCTGGATTCAAACCCAGTGCTCTGAAAGACAAAAACCCCTTATAGTAACTAGAAAAACAGCTTTTTAAGCTTCTCTAGAGGGTAGGGGTACATACAGCTCAGTGGTAGTTTATGCTTAATGTACACGAGGCCCTGGCTTTGAGCCCCAGCACAAAAATACCTCCCCTAAAACCTCCCACATCACTTTACTGTTAATACAGGAATACTGTTTGCCTCAATGAACATACTGTTTACTGTATTGTGGAAAGTTGAGACTTAGGTTTTAGATATGAGGTTATTAAGAAGGAAGCGTTTTTATGTATTAAACTATGAGCTGCAGCCTGTCAGCATCTACTGTGCCTGTTCTTCAGTAAAGCAACCCTCAGGCTTCTCCCAGGGTGTTGGCCGCTGTCGGCCCACTGTCTTGTCTGTTCTGGGGGCCTGGAAAGAACCCGAGTGTGTGGTTAGGACAAGGTGGATCTGCTGTACATACGTGCCACAGAGCACGGGGGACTGTCCTGGAAGGAGGAATTTCTTCTGGGGCAGCAGAGAGCAGAGGGGCTGCCTTCACAGTGCCTGGGCTGGTCTTTCACCATTGGTAAAGAAGCGGTTGAAACACGTTACAGTAATGTCTGACCCCTACCGCACCAGTCCCGTACTTCACAAAAAGTGCTACTATGGATTAGGAGAAACGTCCTCCTGGGTCTGTTTTAATTAAAACTAAGCCTATCTTCTGAGCCTAGAAAGATGGGAAGGAAGATGGAAGGACATCCTAGAACCTGGAGTTTTGTGAAGATACTCGCGGCTGGAACCTGATCTGTGCACCCAAGTCTTCCCGATTTTAGTTGGAATTCATCCTACCATTTGAATACTCCCTCTAAATATGCACGCGTATATATGATGAAGGGGAACCGGTTGGCCTCTCCTGGATATATATGCTTAGAGCTGAAAAAAGCAAAGATGACGCAAGGCAAAATACAAACATAGACTTTATTAAATGCTGCTCAATCCCCCAATGAAGATCTTTCATTACAAAACAGTTTCCACACAACTGCAAGTTAAGAGATTGGAATGGTACTCTGATAAGAAAAGATGTGAGAAATACCCGACCAGGTAAAACATACAAGACCTTTCTGGAGTCAACTTTCCAGTGCTCTACGGAGGAAGCCTACTGCATTTCCTTTAAATAAAGCCAGGCAGTGACAACTAGCACCGTGCGCACCACACACGGGACCTGAAGCCTCCTCCCTGGGGTGCCAGGCGGCGGCGGAGAGGAATGGACCGGCAGCGGTGTCCACCTGCCCTGCAAGACTGATCTGGGTTCGCCCTGGGGCACTGCAGGTGAACGGGTACTGGTGAGGGACACTCTCAAGAATTTTGGTTTACTGTCCCAGCTTTGCCCATTTTGTGCTTTAAAAGACTGAAGATTGACATTTTTACACAAATTCAGAATACAGTAATTCCTTCTGATGAGGCGGGTGTAGGGTAGGAACCCACCTCATGTTTTTGGGAGAGATGAAGGGAAGGGGAAGGATGGTACCTTAGTTTATTTTAGGAAAATACTCTTTGTACTGGGATGTAACTAAGGTTTGCAGCAATGTGAAAAGCACATTATAGAAGGAAAAAATATACAGAGCAGACTACTTGATCTCTGTGCAACACGATCAAAGAATTCAAGTCATAATTCTTACCACTCCCATAATTATCTCACTCATAGATGATAAAGTTCATTCATTTTTGTGAAACTTCAGAAGTGACACAATATATCAACGATTAGACGAAAGGTTACAATATACTGCGGCCGTGATATAGCACAGGGCTACGTTTAGTCCATATACGTTTTCATTTACAGTTGCCAGAAAAGATTGGCCTTTTAATTACATTATACTGATGAGGTTTGCTTTGCAGTTTTTATGTATTTAAAACATGTACAACACAGTGCCGCCCTGCAGAGGTGCAGGCCACTTCTACGGGGCACTGGCGCTGCTGAGGAGGCTGTGCATGCTATAAGCACTGTTCTGCTTCTCTAGAGCTTTCTTTAGCTTTAGCTCCTCTAATTTTTTCCATAGTTCTTCACGTTCCAATTCCTTCTTTTTTTCCCTGTAGAAAACCAAAATTTTTGTGATTAGAAATTATTTCAGGAGCCAAGAAAAGGTGCTGTCTGGCGGTCACCACAGAACACACGGCTGACCTCGTTTCACAGAAAGCCATCCACCCTGGCACTGGCATCCAACTGCCGGCAGCAGCTGAGGGTGCTCCTGTCACTGTCGTCCGTGTAGCCAGTGTCTCCTGCACTGGCTGAACGTGTCCCATGTTCCCTACCCTCAGATCCCACACCTGTGCTTTGTTGTGGACAAGGGGCTCTGTGTTAACTTTCTCACACCAGCTTCTTGTAGCGGCTGCAGTGCTCTGGTCCACCTTACAGACAGGTCAGAGGCATGGGCTTTCGGATAGGGCAGAGCCCCTCTCCTGCAGAATTCACCCTTCTGCCCATCCCTCCAGTCACCACCCTGTTTGCATCTTATTCTCTCCTGTCTCTTGTGTGCCAGGTGAAAGTCAAAACATTTTATATGTTGCGTCAACTACTTAATTTCAATTTCTAAGGGAGCATTTCTGAATAACTCAGACCAGCCTATTCTCAAAGGCTATATGAACATGTAAAACATGGGCTTGTATTTCTGTGGTTATAGTTTAACACAACAAATCCTTTTAAAGGATGTTATACAGATAACATAAAATGATGGTTACATGAAATACACATTTTCAGATGTAAGTTTCATATGATCCTATAACTCAAACCAAATGCCTATTCCTATTCCTGCCTCAACTCTGCTACTTCAGAACTCAAAGAGGTACTTACTCAGCCATATTCCTAAGGCTGATGTGGACAATCATTTATCCTCTTAAAAATGTGCATTATGCAAGGAACCCCGTATCGCTAGACCTGAGCCAGAGCTTATCAGATCCTCCTCCCAAAGGAGAACTGCGCTGACCTTAAAACACCACTTTCTGGTAACTGCAGCATTATGTAGGAGCAGGTGAAGAATTGTGGACAAGTGATGTTCATAAATATAAGAAATCAAGCTGTATAAACTGGAATTTAAAATTCAGCAGACTGTTTCATGATGCAGATGCTACCAGACTGATGAAATCTAAGACTCACAATGAGATAACAGGATTTCTGATCCACATTAAAACTTTTATCTAACCATTAGGGGAAGTAAATTATGCAACAACTCTAATAAATGTTACTGCTTTTTCTGCTTAATGAATTGATAAAAGCTTACCTGGAATGACTTCAGTGTTCAGAGATTTTCAAATATGCCTATTGTAATGTAACTGACTTCATAAACACGGTAACTTAAGGTACCTTTCTGAACTGAATCACATTCAACTAATCAAAAATGTTAGACATTTGTGTAATTCACGCTATCAGGTACCTCTGTCTCTCAGCCTTGTAGGAGCTAGTAAGGTCATCAAACAGCTTGCCATTCATTTCCATGAGGGTCTTCAACACATTGTACACCAGTGCTACAATGGTCCTGAAATGAAAATGAGCCAGTCCCGCGTCACGGATGTCAGCAGACTGGAAATGTTACACTGTCATCTACAAGATGGGTTAAATGCTGACTTACTCATTTAATTCATTTTAGAGATGATAAAATTGATGTTTAAAAGGTCTGTAATGCGTTCAGTCATGCAGCCAATAGCAAAAGAGATGGTCTGATTCCCAAACTTACATCCTTCCTGTGTTACCATGCTTACATTAAATTCTAGCTAAAAAATGTTGTGTAGATCTGCATCTCTGTGCTGAAGTCTATCTGAAGCCCAAAGTAACAACAGTAAGAGAAGATAAAAATTCCCCAACTGCCATTACTTGAAAGAAGAAAAGCAGAAAACAAGACAAGAATGTTCTGTAGCGAGAACATTCAGTCCACACATCACCACGGCCATAAACACTCTTCTTATGGGGATACTGCTACCGACTGAGGTCAGGCTGTGTCCTGGACATGGGTCAGCACAGCTCTCTGTTGTCCTCCACAGAGGCTCTCGGCTGTGTCCTCCCCTGCGGCTGACCACACTAGGCACACGTTATGCCAAGTGAGTTCCCGTCAGGGAGGTTTCTGATATTCATACATACATACATAAATTTACACAACTTTAAAGCTATGTGTATGTAAGGTATAGAACAGAATAAAACTGATGTTAACCTTTGATGTAAGTTCCAAATCTGTACAAGTTTCATATAAGGAAATCATAACAAGATTTAAAAAAGAACACAAGAAAAATATGAACATTACAGTACTTACTGGTTCCAGTGTTCTTTGGAAATTTTGTACAAACTGGCAAACATTATTGGCAGTATTTTATCAATGTTCTCCTCGATCAAACTAAGAATATATTCATTATTCCAGAAGTACAGTGCTCTTTCTGCAACCTAAAAGACATTCAGAAATGTCAAAACCCAAAAGGAAAAGAAATTACAAAATAAGCAGATGTCGCTGAAGGCGCCATACCTGAAAATGAGAACTGGAGACACACTTGGATATCTGCTTAAAAAGTGGCTCTTCAATTTTTTTGAACTGTGTTGGCTCAATGACATCTAAGATTTCTTCAATTTCTCCTAAAAACATCACCTACGGTAAAAAAAATTCTCTTAAAAAATAATATGACACGTTGTATTATTTAATATAGAAACAAATGAGGTGAATCTATAAGTTATAAATTAGTGAAAAAGGTCTGGCTGGTTTACAGTTTGCTAAAAGAAGCACAGCTGTTCTACTAGGTCTCCCACAGCATCTCCCTCTCTGCAGCAGCAGCAACAGCCCCCAGGTTTATAGACCCAGGACTGAGCCATTCTCCTAAACTGTACTGTTTCAGTCAACAAAACCCACCTCCTTCTGACTGCATGTTTTCGGCCAAAATTTCAGCAGTCCTCTGATCACCTGCAAAAAAAAGGAAATGTTTAGAATGAATGAACAAGGCAACTAATCCCACGACAGTTTCAGGAGTTGTGAATAAGTCACTGTTGATCCTGAATAAAGCAACGTTGGTATCTAAGTGTATATACACCAGCACTTCTGGCTTAGCTTTAGGCCTTTGTCAATTCAAGATATTTACTGAGTTCCTAGGCACCAGAGACTGCTGAAATGAGGAGAACAGGTCTGCGATTTGATGGTGCTTAACGTTCTTTTTCTAAATTTTATTTTATTTTTTTTTGAGACAGGGTCTCACTATGTAGTTGAGACTGACCTGGAACTCACTATGTAGCCCAGGCTAGTCTCAAACTCACAGCGATCCTCCTGCCTCAGCCTCCCGAGTGCTGGGATGACAGGCATGCGTCGCCACAGCCGGCACCGATGGCATTTACGTTCTAATGGAGACCAACATAAGTGATGGATTAAGTATGTAATAAAACAAGTTAAGTGTTACCTACTAAGAAAGAAAGATGATAATTTGCTGGGGTGAACAAGGGAATTTTGGGGGAAGGAACCTCAAGGAAACTATTCTGAAGCACCGTGGTGTGGCGGTACGTGCCTGTAATCCCAGCACTTCGGGAGGCTGGGGCAGAAGGATCACAAGTTGGAGAGCCAGTACAGGAAATTTAACAAGACCTCAAAATAAAAAAGGGATAGGGGTGTGCCTCAGCGCAAAAGCCCTGAGTTCAATCCCCAGTACTGCAGACACAAACAGCCAATTTCATGGCCGGCATAATCTAGATAACTAAAGTTCAATAAAACATAAGAAAGGAACCATGTATTTCAATGAATACAGATACAAATTCTTTGCATTAAATTGAATCCTAAGTGTATACAGAACATGTCTAATTACGGTATAACTTATTCCAGAAATACCAGGATGGCTCAATTCTAGGTTAAAAGGATAAACAAAACTCCATATTCTTTCAAATAACTTTGAACAGTTATTTGGTATTTCTGATAAAAATCTTAAGAGAATTTATTTGAAACCATTAACCACCGTTTCACATGATAGTTTCTTAGAAATGAGCTGTAAATAAACCATCTTGGCCTGGTGGCACTGTGGGAAGAATGCTTTGCTGGCTGCTCTGGTTACTTAATGCTGGTTTGGCCCAGCAGCGAGAAACTCTCGTTTAAATTAAAACTCGCGAGAACACTGTTCTGGAGACAATATAGTAAGAGAAGAATGTGATGAATAATACTAGCAAGGAATGTCAAAAATCACACTTATTTGCTAATGATACAATATTTATACATTTCTTACATTTTAAAAACATTATAAAAATAAAATGAGTACGAAAATTCAATATATGGCTAGATGAAATATATAAAAGTCAACATTTTATAAGTATTAAGTATCAGTAATAATAAAGCGAAAAGAATGCTTTTCATAACAATTATACAGATATTGTTTCTCCTGTACTTAACCTATAATCTATACATTTAATATAATTTCAGTCAGATACCAATTGAGTTATCTTTGGGACCAGAAACATTCATTCTACAATGCATAAATGTAAACAATAGTCAAGAGTTTGAAGGGAGATTAATGGACTAGAACCTGCACTACTGCTACTATTAGCAATTAAAACAAGACGATGATAGTACAGAAATTGACAGAAAGATCCATGGAACAGGAATATGTATGGGTTGTAATACATTGCAGAAATGGATGGGACTGAGTACATCCCCAGGGCTTCTACTGACACCTAAATATTGGTCTCTGGCCTCCAGAACTCTGGGAGAATACATTGCGTTGATTTAATTTGTGTTAATTCATTATAGCAGTCTTCAGAAACTACAGGTAAAGATGGGAAAGCAAAAGGTAAATCTAGAATATATAACTAAAAAACAATGAGAAAATAAAACTAGAAAAATAACGAATGTATATTCTAGAATTCTGTATATACTGAAGAATATTTTTATAATTTCAAGGGGTAAAAAGATTTTTTTTAGCATAACATCAAGAAACAGACTTAGGACATAAAATTTTTACATAGTTCTTTAGGGCAAGGGTTAAAAACAGTACATTCACAATTAAAAGAAACTCCAGATGAACAAAAAAAGATTGCAAAATACAACAGAAAAAGGATTAAAAGTAGGGCACAGAAATATAAAGGACCAATTAAACATGAAAAGATGGCTCAATCCTTACAATAAAATAGCAAATTAAAATACTTCATAGGTATTAGACTAAGCAAACATTTTAAAACTTGGTTATTTCTGTTTGAAATTTTGAGACGAGATCTTTCTTGTTAAGTCAGTAGGTTGCCCAGGCTTGGACTCCAACGTGTGAGCCTCCTGTCTCAGCCTCCCAGATGTCTGGGATTATTGGCATGTGCCACCACACCTGGTTAAGACTTTAAAACTTAATATTCAGGGCTGGAGATTTAGCTCACTGGTTCTGCCACCTGCATCACAAGCACAAGGACCAGAGTTCGATCCCCGGTACCAAAAACAAAAAACAGAAAACAAACTTTCAGCACTAAGATTGGCTAGGTAAAACAGGTATCTAGGTATCTTTACATTCTGGAGTGAAATATTAAATTGTGAGTATTAATTACATAACCTTTATGGAATGCAACTTAAAATAAGTTAAAACGACATGTACTCAGCAACACAGATTGTACCTTTGTTTTTAGTTTCTGAATTTTCATACAGTAAGGACCACCCCTCTAACAACTTTTTTCCTTTCTCGGTGTACAGTTCTGAGGGATTTTAAACATGCTTAATTTAACAACTCTAACACCACAAAACATCTCACTCAGCAACCGGCTTGTAACAGTGAAAAAATCCTGTAACTCAGTGTTCACTGAGAGGGTTGATAAATGGTAACCCATATAATGGAATTTTACACTACCAGTGAAAAATGAAATTGATTAATATGCAAAGATATCTACATTATTCTGTTTTACTGTTTATGCATAGATAAATGTATGAAAAACTCCTAGGAATACATCCATCAACTTGTTTATCTATAGAAGGTAAGGTTTCAGGGAATTTTCACATTGTGCTTTATGCTTTTGTAATGTATGACCCAATTTAACACACATTGCTTTTATAAATAGAAGTAATGAACTCATTTCCATTTCAGAAAATATAAACATTTTAATAAAGAGTTAGATACAGAGGAAAATAATAAAACACCGAAAGCTCTAACTTACTTATAACATGTCAGAGACTTTGTCTTCATCTTGTGGGGTTGTGTCCCAGTAAGCCCATCTTTAAGTTGAAAACATATTAAGCCAAGAATGCACGTGACACGCCTAACTGCTGCACATCGGCTCAGCAGCGTGCTGCGCCCAGAAGTGGCATCTACCTGCCTCGTGCTCACACGCCTGGCCAGAGCAGGTCACTGTCCTGCCCAGCACGGCTGGACAGTACTGTCCTGCCCATGGCTGGCCTGGGGAAAGATCACAATTCAAAATACGATGTGTGTTTCTGACTGAATCACCTTGCTTTCACATGTAATGTGAGGTCAGAAAATCAGTAAGATGAAGCACCGTGAGGGAGGGACTCTCTGTATCAAGGCTCAAACCCAAGTACCCAGGTCATGCTGATGATGGGCTGCCTGGAGGAAGATTGCAAACTCACAGACAGAGAACTCTATGAACTGAAAAGATCTTTATGTAAGCTCACTACTTACCTGACGTGACCCGTGACATGTTAATGTGCTTTCTCAAGTGTAAGTTATCATGGACTTGTATTAAGAGTTAAATCTCCTCTACAGAATTATATATTTTCATGCATAAATACTGAGCTTCTATTTCTCCTGATTTAACTTTAAAAATTGTTTTCAGGATGAACTGTAAAAAACCCTGAAAAAACCAGGGAATGGTAAAATACCACTGTTCCTTTATAAAAAACTCAAGTGAAAAGTAAAATACTAAGTACGTAGTCTTTTCCAGATCCCTAGGGATAGCCTAAGAAGATTTATAACAACAAATGCAAAATTTTAATCCCTCAAACCATTTGCTATTCTTCAAAAGCTACCTTAGCTTAAATATTTAGATTTTAAATACCTAGTAAGCATTCTCTCAAAAATACGTATTTCACCAAGGTTAAAATGTTTTCAATGATTATACACATGTCACCCTACTTCATCTTTTCTTCAATCATCGATTTTCATAATAACTAATTATGTTTTTACATCTGAATTAACATGTCACGGGCAAATAATAAGCAATAGAATTGCACGTCTAAATTGCTATGCTGACTTATAAAGCAACCTTTATTCTAAGACTGTATCATAATTACAAGAGGCAGGGAAATGTTTTCAGTCCTATCTTGTGCTTTATCATTAGTGAGAGTCAAAATGCTATTTCTGAAAGTAAAACAAAAGCTTAAGGGAATAAATGTGGACTCTCCCATTACACTTGAATTCTTTCTTTCTTTTTTTGGTACCAGGGATCGAACTCGGGTCCTTGGCGCTTGCAAAGCAGGCACCAGAACCAATGAGCTAGATCCCCGGCCCTACACATGAATTCTAAACGGTGAGTGAAGAAGAGAAAGACGACCAGTGGCCGCACACAGAACTTCTCTGTGGTCGTGAGGTCAATCACACCCCCTGACTACTGTCTACCGGAATTGTTTCTACTTAGGTCATTCAAGACACATCCAGTAACTCAGGAGCCTTCTTCCCTCTGTGCTTTGCTCTTTGGTGCAGATTAACCTCACATTCCTCCTCCAAAATGATTTTAGCTTAGGGTGCACTGTTACTACTGCCCAGATGAATGCGCAGATACGCACCGGTTCTGTCAGGGTCGTGTCCTTCTCCAGGAACTGTACGACACAGTACGCTAGCTAGAAGGAAAAGTTCACAAATAGGACATATTACTGAGTGCAATAAGACAAAGGAGCGAGACTATATTTAATCAACAAAAATACTATTTTGACAAATTTTAGTTTAGTTCAATGTATAAAATGAGTAAACTCACAATTGTATAATTTGTTAATCCTGAAAGTAACTTCTAATTTTAAAAAGACTGGCTTTGTGGGGTTGGGGTGGGGTACTGAGGCATGATCCCCCGGCCTGCACACTGAGCTACACTCCTGGCCCTTTTTGAGACAGTGCCTCACCAACTCACTAAGTGGCCCAGGCCAGGTTTGACCTTGCAATCCTCCTGCCTCAGCCTCCCAGAGTGTTGGGTTTACAGGCATAGTAGTAATCTCTGAGAATAAAGCTAACTGAAGTAATATTCAGCATGTTTCTATGTGTATGCCTATGTTGATGTATTATTCTCTAAATATTAACAGAGGTGATCAAAAGCTTTATAATTAGGACATTCATGGACAGAAGTAACACTCTGCAGACATGGGAATTTATTCAAAGTCACACAGTAAGGTCAGGGTCTGGATCAGTATATAAGCAAACTTGATATTATCTTTTTTTTTTCCTCATTGAGTTTATTGGTACATTTTGGGTATACAGTACAGTTACATTCATCATTGGGATCTTATACCTGACATTATCTTTTCTGTATCTACACCTAAAGTGGTCTTAATAGCTAAAAACCATGATACTTAAACCTTCAAATAAAAAATTGCTTTGGGTAACTTAGAAAGCAAACTGCTTAATTGTAATTAATATTGTTGTCTCAATATTTCTCAATTTCTCTGCCTATATATTTGTCTTTGAAATCATGTTTACTCATTTTGAAATTTTTCTGACACTCACCTGAGCATGAAACAAAGCTAATCCTTTTGCAGTATGCATAGGAATAAGAACCTTCATTAGAAACTGTTTATGTTCTGCTTTCAGTGGCAATGCAAAGCCATTGATAATACTGGAGGGAAAAAAAGGCAGGGGGAAGGGTTAAGCAGTTACTACTTTGTTTCTAACCTTCATATCTATCCAGCGCTCTGTATCAGTCTGGGGTTGCGTGACTATTCATCTTCAAACTACTTTAGAGAGTCTACTACTATAAACCAGTAGTTCCTGTAATTCATTCAATGATCTCAAAAGAAAATTAGGACTGCCAACTAATGCCAAAGAGCATAATTTATTTTCTGGAAAGACCATTTATGCACTGCTTCCTTTATTTTTCTCTCTAAAGCCAGAAAACAGTCAATGTCACCAGACTGACAGAATTTTCATTATTTTCTTAAGTAAATGGGTTGTGTCTCTTACTTTGCTGGATAACCTGAAATTAAGAAGCAGTTCTCTTTTTTTGTTTGTTTGTTTGTTTTTGCGACAGGGTCTCACTATGTAGTAAGACTGACCAGGAACTCACTATGTAGCCCAGGCTGGTCTCAAACTCAACAGTGATCCTCCTGCCTCAGCCTCCCAAGTGCTGGGATTACAGGCGTAGGCCACCACACCCAACAAGAAGCAGTTCTTAGCACAGTAATTTTCTAAATATTAGCAAAGCAGATTAAAGTAATTCTTTGAACAGCAACAGTGGGTCTTAAATTCTCAAGTTAATACTACTATGCAGTGAACAAGGAAACATATCCATGCAAACTAAAACCAAAAGTAAAGATTCTTCTAAAAAGAATGGGAAAAAAAATCAATAAAAAGAATTAATGGATCAGGAATGGTTGTCAACATCTGAACGTGAATTCTTGTAATTTCATCAAAGATTCACTATAGCCTATTTCATCTCTTTCCAATCAGAACCTGCAAATTCCTGAGGCACTCTAGTGAGACTGGGGATAAAACACGCCAGTTTCAAAAGCAGGAAGCCTGCTCTGACACAGAGGTCTTGAAGAGCAATACTTTAATATCCCGACCCCCTAAAATCTATAATAAAAATTCACTTGAGACCCATGTCTTGTGTTCGAATTCATTTATTCTTGTGCTGAGGACTGTGCCCTGGTTCTCTGGCACTGTCTGTGTACTTGAATTCTAAAACAGGAAATAATTTCAACACTAAAATTTTAGTACATAAGGAATAACTCAAAGTTACTAAATCTTTGAGAAGAACACAAAATCAGACCTACCTTCCTAGAATCTCAAGGAGTTCAGCAACACCATTGAAATGTTCTGTTTCATATATAAACCTGAATTTAAAATAAAGATAGGTGTAATAAAATCAAACGTAAGAAAACTAAGAGAAACAGGCAGGAAGGTGAAGAAATCAACCCAAAGGCAGCAGTAGAAAACACACAGGCATATTTCAGGTTTTGTCATTTATTTTTTCCTAAATCAGTTAATCCACAGGAAACTTAAAAAAATATATTACCTATATAATCACAGATGCCACCTTTGCTATAAAATATGCCACGTGTGAATTTAACATTCTCATTTCCCTTGGGGGAAAAATATATGAAGGACAGTTTCTCAAAGAAATTCTTTTCAATGTAGGAAGCCTTTATTGACAGGAAAATCCATGAAAAAAGGACTCGCATCAGCCACTTTTGCTCAGAATCGCTCTAAACCTCACACAGCTCAGGCTGCCCAGCTTCCCCGCACCAGGCTCTTCTTTCACTCGGGAATCATAACCTTCAATAATGGGACAAGGCTGGTGTTCCACACCACCGAAGTGGACTCAGATGGCATCACAGAGCTGCAGCAAGAGGCAGCTAGCACTCAGCTCTCATGGTTGCAACATGGGAATGCCAGGCTTATTTTGCCAGGTCTTCAATTAATTCACATAAATTTGAAATGCAGGTATTAATGTGAAATCTCTTGTCTTGAAGCGAATATTTAAAAGATTAACATTTACTAGGTAGTAAAATGATCAGCCCCAATACATTTAATTAGTCTTGTCAGAAAAATCAAAAGAGCCCTCTCAAGAGCTACTGGTATAAATCATATTTATATAAACAATTGTAAACACGAAGTTCAAACTGAAAACTTGATAAATCACACTCTCAATAAATCATAACTATGAGTAACAATGGCATCATCTATCAAAAATCCTCCTCATCGGTACTGTGTGCTTCGATACAAGGCCAGTTACAAGTTTCTAAAAAGTCTGCAGTCAAATGATATTCATACTACGGTCTAAAAATGACTCAGATTTGTGGATTTCAGATATTTAAAATTGACCTAAAAGGCAACTGAGTAAAGAAGATATGTGGTGGGGGAAATGCTACAAATGAATACACGTATAATTTACCTGAGGAAAATGTTGTTAATTTGTTTTCTGATGAATGCTCTTAATCCAAGAAATTTCCCATAAATTCGGTGCAGAACGGTCTTCAGGAAGTCGCGTTCTCTGGGATCTTCGCTATCAAAAAGCTCCAGGAGCTTTAAAAAAAATCTGAGAAATTACTTTAAAAAAATAATCGAGCTAAAACTTCACTTTATTCTAATTTTGATATGAAGATTATCCATAAAATCTTTAAATATTTGCTTAAAGATTTGGCCTTGTTAGATTGGTTTTATCCTTGCTAAGTAAATGAAGCCAAAGAAGAGCCTGGGGAGTATTCTTTTCACTAATGTTAGTTTCTTTAAAAATGATAATATATAATACAAAATTTCAAAAACAAGATTTTTTTTCTTTACCTTGTCACTGATTTTAGAATTCTAACCAAATTGAGACTAACCATAGCTCAGTTTTTAGGGTATTAAATTTTTAGCTGTTTAATAATGTTTTTTTATGCTAAAATCTTAAGCTTTTAGATTGGAAGTCATGACATAAATGAAGTCTCCGAAATATGTATGTGTAAATATACATAGTTTACTTGAATTATCATAGAATTTTATGGTCTGAACTTTGGTACTGAGAATTACACTAGGTCAGGTATACTGCCAAACACCTGTAATCCCAACGCTATGGAGACTGAGGCAAGAGGATCACTGTGAATTCCAGGCCAGCCTGAACTACACACAACAATGAAACCAACCAACTGACCAACCAACAACAAAAAGAGTTACACTAAAGATGGAAATGCTGGTTCCTATCAGAAGTTCTTCCCCCATTCTTATTATATAGAACTGTTTACATGGACACGTCAAGTCAGAAGAGGCATTTTGAGGGCTGTGATGACTGAAGTCACATTTATATCACTCCCAATAAGCGATCTGTTTATAGTCTTCATTCTTTTTTGGCTCACTAACATAGCACAGGGGGACCTGGCAAAAAATACTTATGGATTATAGGAATTGAGGTTAATGAATACTTAATAAATCCATTTCAAATTATTCTAATTAAAAATGTTTAAACTACTCACAACATTTAAATTCCGGTTTCTGATGTGGATTTACTTGAAAGATAAACTTTCAAATTAATAAAAGGGCTCTTGTTAAGGTCATTGTGCCTAATTCAAGAACAAATATAATTAATACAAGGTGATCTTTAAGGGGAAAATATTAGACTAGAGAAGAACAGGGCCAGGGATTTAGCTCAATGGTTCTGCCGCCTGCTTTGCAAATACAAGGACCTGAGTTTGATTCCCGGTATCAAAAAAAAAAAAAAAAAAAAAAAAAA